AGCTTGTGGCTTAAGTAAAAATGCTTACACCTAGTTGAGCTGTATATAAGGCCTCAGGCAATTTATTTAATGGATTTTTCGTGGGGCCGCATGGAAAAAAATCCAGCTGTTTAATATCATCCAAACCAAAAATAGACACTTCATGATTAATGAAAGCTACAAGAAAGATTTTCCAGGGATTGAGAAACCATGTTTCTTTTACAGTTAAATCCATTGTATCTGCCAGGTATTATCAAAGAATGGAAGATTTATTTAAATTGCTAAAACTGGGATAAAATAGAATATTTATACAGAATTGTATAAGTGTCATCATTGAAGCTCATCATCACAATAGAAACAAATTCATGCTTTTGGGTGTTCTGAAGTCCCAGCTGTGGGGGCTGTAGCTGAGAAAAACTGCATCAGGGGATTTAGTTACATACCCAGATGAGCTTTATTCTGTGATGAAGCTGTGAGACCCATGGCTAAGCATTGCTATTTCTTGCAGGTAAAGCATACCCATAGCTCCTTTTACCTTTGGATATCCTAGTTTACACTTACATGTCTTGTGATTCCTAGCCAATGTGAAGACTTTGTCAGAAGTTTTTGCTATCTGAGCCTATGGAGACCTATCACACCAGGCATATACAAACAAGCAAAGAAAAGAAAACAAAAGAGATAATTTTTGCTCCAGAGAACAAGACATCAAGGTGTGTGGGATTTGGTCGCCTAGACATTGGCACCGAGAGCCATTTGAGATGTATGAGGGCAACTGCAACTTCTGGCATGTACGACAGTTCTTAGAGCAGACTGACATCTTTTTCACAGGGTAGATCAGCTATCCCACAGCACCTTCAGTGACACCAGAGACGATTTCAGTTGCCGACTTGGCATTCAAGCATCACTTTAGGTCCTGGGGGTACTCTGAGAAGCCTCCCCAGGTCTGTAACAAGAGCTTAGAAAGCTGATAGGCTTCTTAGGTACACATAGGTAACACAGGGTGGAAGATAAATGATAAAACAGGCAAAGGAGGCTGAATAAAGGGTAAAGACAGCAGTGTCTCAATAAATAAAAAATCTTGATTAGCTGCCAGACTGATACATAATCACATTAGTTTTTAGGCACAAACTCAGCAGTGTGTGACAAAACTGCAGTTGCCAATCTTTATAATAGACGTGTTTAAACCAAGGAATTAGGTTTACTAGGCTACCTTGCTGGCTTTAAATTTCATGTGATTATAGCACTTGCTGATTAATGCTAAAATAATTGTCCTGGTTTCGGCTGGGATAGTTAGTTTTCTTCCTAATAGCTGGCACAGTGCTGTGTTTTGGATTTAGGATGAGAATAATGTTGATAACACACTGATGTTTTAGTTGTTGCTAAGCAGTGCTTACACTAGTCAAGGACTTTTCAGCCTCTTATGCCCTGCCAGCAAGAATCTGGGAGGGGGCACAGCCAGGACAGCTGACCCAAACTGGCTGAAGGGATATTCCATACCATGTGACGTCATGCTCAGTGGGGGGAGTTAGCCAGGGGAGGGGTGACCACTACTCGGGGACTGGCTGGGCATCGGTCGGTGGGTGGTGAGCAATTGGATTGTGCATCACTTATTTTGTATATTCTTTTATCATTATTATTATTGTTGTTATTATTTTCCCTTCGTTTTCTGTCCTATTAAACTGTCTTTATCTCAACCCGCAAATTTTACTTTTTTTTTTTCCAATTCTCTCCCCCATCCCACTGTGGTGGGCGGGGAGTGAGCGAACGGCTGTGTGGTGTTTAGCTGCCTGCTGGGTTAAACCACAACAATAATGAATAATATTACGGGCTTTTATGGGGTAAGGGAAGACTTCCCATTTAAGGGAAAATTTCAGAGAAAGGAGGAAGGCATTTGAATGAAATGAAGGTAACTGAGAAAGTCAAATTGATGATGCTGAAAGAACTAAGGCAGTGGTTAGGCTTGCAATAAACTTCATTTTTAAATATGAAGAAACACTGAATAAGCCTTACCTGAAATTTGATGTAAAAGAAGAAGGGGAACAAATTAACTGATTCGGAAGTGTAAGATGGTCCAACTCATGTAAGGACAGAAATCACTAAAGCGCAGTAGATGCTTTGATTTTTAGCTATTCTGACTAGAAATGTAATGCTATGTTTTATTGGTATTATAACTGCATATATGTAAATACAAACCATTTAAAGTAAGTTTTCTGCAAAGACAAAAGAAAATCTAGAATTACAACGCCTTTTTCTTATTTCATGTGAACAAAATGTTGCTTGATAGCTTTGCAAAGGACATCCCCAAAGGCAATTTTTTTCCGTAGGCCAGTGAATCATGAATTATTCCATAGCATTGATTCTGTTACTCCCAGGGGGTGGCAATTTTCCCATTTGTAGTAGTTCCAAACATTGTGTTTCCCTTAGTGGCAGAAAAATTGCATGATGAATCTGTTTCATATTAAGTTTTGATTAAACACAGGCATTTATGATAATTTTAGTTACAATATACTCTTCACAAAAATTACATTTTTATTTTACAAATTGAGGAAAACTAGTTGCTTCGCTTCATGCTTTAAAGTAAGAATACATTTTTTGATAATTAGAGTAAGGCTTCTTTGATAGTTTAGTTAGTGTTATGTCACCCTATTAAACATAACTTCCTATTAAAAGTGCCTTATTGCTCATGGTGGACAAAAAAATGCTCAGATTCTAAGAATTTGTACTGCATGTGAAATCTTTGTTTAGGAACAAGACATATTTCCAAAGTTTGGTTTGGCTTTTGAACTGAAAGTTAGGGAAGAAACTCAGGATATCTAAACTACTTTTTAACCTTGTCTTCTGGGAAGGTGCAAATAATTCTAATTGGCATAACCAGAGATTATCCATGTAAAAGGAAGTAATAGATTGGGAATAGATAATGAGAAGGAAACCAAATTTAATTTTTTAGGCATCCTGGAGCTGATCCTACAGAAATTAGTGTTTGTAATTACTGAATCATGGAAGCTATACAGAAAAATAACTCTCATGGGAAGCACTCATTCTTTATGACCAAATTAGCCACTTCATTCTCCTTCTTTTGTGCCAACTGACATGTGGAGAATAACTGAAAATCTCCACCGCATGTACTCTGGGAATCACTCACATTAGCATAAGTGATAGGTTCATTCTTAGCTGAGTGAATGTCAATGAGCCATAAGAGAATTTTAAGGGTCTGGACCAGCTCCCACTGAAATAAGAGCCTAAGTTCCGTGTACTTCAGTAGTGCAGAGTCAATCAGAAGGCAAAAAAGGAAAAAAAAAAAAAAGGAAATATGACTTAGTTTTACAATTGTTGCTTTTTGAGTTTTATCCTTCTTTGCCACTGATATAAAGGTAAAGTTAAATGTCTTGTATCAGCAATTTCTTTTAGCCAAGAAAGTTCAACACAGCTCAGCGGGACATTGTGTTTCTTCTTTTAGGCATGCTTATGTAATAGTAAATCATTTGCTGTGTTGGATAAGTGTGTGGAACTGTCTTCTTTCAGCCCTGCAGATAGCGTAGAAATGTAACCATGGAAAGCTTTGGTACATCTTTTCAGTACGAGAAGGTTTCTGCCTAGTGGGAGGTTTTTTCAGCATATATGAAATTCTGGTTTATATTACAGGTACAGATATTTATAGTTTAGTTTTATATTTTACAGCTACAGAAATTAGTTGTTAAATAATTATACTGAGAACTCATGGATAGGTCTGGAAGTTCCTAAATGTGGTGATAAATATACCCTATTTCTCATATCTTTATTTGTGCAAAAGATTTAAGATGGTTTTGGATAAAAATTTAGAAAGAACACTTATGTTACACAATGTGAATAGAAGTCTTAGAATGAGGCGTTGTTTTCCAGTTCTTTTTATTATATTCTTTGATCTCTTCTTTTAATGATAGGTACATTGGAATTTTGATGACCTGTAAAATGCTTGGGATGTCATAGTTAACTCATGTGCCATTGACCAATGAACTGTTTCTGCTTGATGGGGTCATTATTAACTAGAAGCTGGGTGTGAACTGCAAAACAGCGGAGCTGTCTTTTCCAAGCCAGCGTTGCATGGATGTAATCCATATGGAAACTATCAGGTTATTCCTGGTTGTTACATTCATGTTAATTTTTTTCCCCACAGAATGCATTTGTTTTGGTGGTGTCTAGAACAGTTCTCTTGTTTTCACTGCAGCATATTAATTTCAATATTAGATTAAAATGTAAAGTCTGTAAGCCAAATTCTTGCTGCAGATTAATGATGGTACAAGTGTCTGTCCAATAAATTTGAATAGTTTTATAAAAAATCTATTTTTTGAAAAAATAGATTAACTGAATGTAGACTACTGTTTTAAGCATATATGAAGTTTTGTTTTAAAACTGAATTATATTCAATTAAATGATTACTGTAAGAAAATTGTGAGATATACTGCAGAACTAAATGAGCAATGATGCTAAGGAAATGACAGAGATCTTCAATTTATGGAGGTGGAAACTAGCATATATCAAATATAATTATAGTTATCTCTTGGGTTCTGTTACATACACTGTATTTTAGATAGGAAAATAGGATTTGTCATACTGATGGTCCTATTGACCAGGACTTTTGCTGGAAGAAGATATGCCCAATCTTATGTGGGAAATCTTATGGATAATGAAAAGTGGTTTCTTTCCCCGTGTCAGTCAGGGTTTTCAGTACAGCATTGCGGCCCTTGGTGGGCAGCCGGGAGCATCTGAACCTGCCCAGCAGCACACGTGGACCCCTGGCAGGAAAGCACTGGGGAGCAACTGAACATTAGTGTTTCATTGTATCCCCAGATGAAATAGGTTGCATGTTTCCAGCTGAAGCTCTTTTCTCTTATCTGTTTTTTTTAAATTTTCTATTTTCTGCCCATATTTTGAACCCCAATCATATGGCAAATGTTAAATTTATGAGGACTTGGGGGGGGATATATATTATTTTCTGGAGAAACTATTCCATATATTTAAAAGGTTTTCTTTTCCCCCCTCAGGGAATTCCTGGAATCCCTGGAAATCAAGGAGCAAAAGGACAAAAGGTATTATTAATAGTTCAAAACACAGTTAAAACCTGTGCATATATATACACCCATTCCAAAGTAAGGGTTCAGTCTGTGCTGAGAGGAGAGTTTTCATAGTGGGGGTTTAGGACATCGTATCATGCTGCAAATGAATGGAGACATGCTCCAAATTCTTTGTGGCATGTTTGAAAATCTCTCATTAGGTTTTATTTCTACTATTCCAGAAGGAATTAATAATTTCAAAGTACCAAAGTTAACGTCATAATACTTTGAGAAATAATCCTAACTAAATAAATCTGCAAAGTTAAAGAATATTTAACAAATTTGTTAACTATACATACATTAATCACAGAACTCTTCTCTTTATGTAAAAAATACAGGGTGAAATTGGGCCACCGGGTCAACCAGGAGCAAAAGGGTCACCAGGGGATACTGTAAGTTTGCAGAATGATGTTATTATGAACAAATAATTCTGATGCTGTTGTTCTCTAATTGTAATAAACAAACAAGAAATGGCAAATATAGTAGCAACCTAACATTTTCAGGTTGGCAAATATGATCAGACTAAGCCTAATCTCTGAATTCCCCCCAAAATATTATATACCCACTTTACTTTTTAAAATTTATTTCCTGACTGCACATTTGATAAACAAGTCCAGCAAACACATTATTCTGAACTTACTCTCTGCATTAATTAACTTTGAATTAACTTTGAAAGCAGTCAAATCAATTTATTATGAAAGTTAAGACCGACTTAAATATTGTCATAGTGTACAATGGATTTCTGAAGATGAATTTCAGGATGCTTTTGTTATAGTGCTCTTTTGACAAGGACTGGGAGAATAGCTGAGATCACTGAATTCCCAAATTGCTTAAAGAGAAGTTTTAATTTTGGAATGTAGGAAGGAAATGGAAAATAATTCATTCTTTTTAGACAGTCCAGCTTACCACATCTTTGTTACTGTCTGAGTAGGGTGATTTCCGTGTTCTTTATAATCCTTTAAAAATCACAGTAATAAAATAATTGTTCTGAAAGTTGGTGCAAGTATATACAGACTTTAAAAAATGAAAATTTTAAAGGCAAAAGGGACAGCTGCTTAAAACTGGTTAGAGATCTTTCATAAATTAATAGGAACTTCCTCATTGGTTGAATGTATGCTGCCTTAAAAAATAATTATCTTTTCTATTGAAAAGTTCAACAATGTTTACATGGTTCCATTATTAATCATCCTCACTGTTAACGTGTCTTTTTGCAGTTTTCATTTTGTGTTTGAGATATTTTATCTTCTTTGCTGACTAAAATGCTTCTGACTTTCCTGAGAGATACATGGCTTAGCATCATAAATAAGCTGTTTACTGTGACTTTTTATTTAGTTAAAGAACCTATGTTTCACCCGATATTCAACCTCAGGCAGATCAGTATAGACTATTACTGCTGGAATGAAGTAAATACTGTAGAGAATCAAGTACAGAATTAAGACTCATGCTATTATCTTTATGGATAATAGGGCACTAAATGACTAAAATATTTTAACCTTCTAAGAAATTTGTTTTTTATTCTTAGTGTATATAGCCATATGGTAGTATAAGAGATTTTATGCAGTTGTATTTGGGCTACAGAATTAGTAACGCTTGTCAGGGAAAAAATTAGATAACACTTCTTGATTTGTAGCTGACTGGCATATGCAAACGTTTTAATGTGTGCCAAAAATGGGAAGATCACTTGGTTTTTTCTTGCCTTGTTGCCTCATCTTGAGATTCACTATATTCACTGAGTGGTTAAACATTGGAAGAGGCTGCCCAGGGAAGTGGTGGAGTCCCCATCCCTGGAAGTATTTAAAAGACGTGTAGATGAGGCGCTTAGGGACATGGTTTAGTGGGCATGGTGGTGTTGGGTTGACGGTTGGACTCGATGATCTTGGAGGTCTCTTCCAACCTTAATGATTCTATGATTCTATGATATATTGTGCATGTAACGGGCTTGTCCATGCCCAGTCCAAATAGAAGATACAACTTCAGTTTCTCAGGAAGCCAAGAAAGCAGTTCAGTGAAAATATTTAATTGGGAAATTTCAGCATTTCTGTAGTGTTACTACTGGGATAAATATGATTACATGGGAAACTGTAGCATACTGCTTAATTTCTTTAGCTTGGAAAATGCATTTGAAGATAAATAATCACTAAGTCCAATTCTGTCTAATTTTGATAACAATAGTGATAGGTTGTCTAATATCTGAACTGAGAATAGAATCATAGAATAGTTTGGGTTGGAAGGGACCTTTAAAGGTCATCTAGTCCAACCCCCCTGCCGTGGGCAGGGACATCTTCAACTAGATCAGGTTGCTCAGAACCCCGTCCAACCTGACCTTGAATCAGATTCTTATAAATGCTTTGATAGCATTGCTTTGATAAATGAGACTAACATATAAACACTTTTTACAAAAATTAATCTCAGAGCAGTAATTATCTTGCTAATTAATTCTGTCTGAAATGGAAGGGTAAAAGGAAGTAGTAAATTAAATTATCTGGACAAAGCTGAGGGATTTGAATAGCAGCAAGAAGGAAATGCTCTGGATAGAGCTTCCGAAAAATCGTTAGAAATCAGCAGATGGCATTCATGAAATGGAAGAAGAGGCTGAGAAGCTTAGAAAGTGATATCTGCATTGTAGGTACAAATGGCACTGACCATTTTATTCCTAAATAGGGAAGCTATGCCTAGAAGTCTCAATATTCCTTCTGTCAGCAGCAAAAGAGAAGGCTATGGCAATTGTAGGTTTTTAGCCCAGCAGCATCTTTGAAGTGTGGAAATCGTGGATGAAAGCTGTGAACTGTTCTCTCTGCTGCCCTTGCTGTTATGTTAAGCCCCTTGATATTTTGGCAACAGGTGAGAGAACATCGCTATAGATTCTTGGATTTTGGCAATTGTTAACAGATTGTGTTGTTCGGTTTCATAACTTGTTTGTCTTTCAATTTATCTACCCCATCTCTTT